CCTACCATCAGCTTCCTCACTTCCAAGCTCCAAGGCCCTTCCTGTGCCTCTATAACTTGTTTCCTCCTAGGAATTACTTCTTCCACCTCTGTGATTTACCAAATAAATGTTCTCTTGCCAAAAAAACCCCCAACAACCCAGCAACTCGAGGCTGCTCAGTTACCCCCCTACAGTTATACATTTTCTATTCTTGCTTTGATGGAATAAATTAGCTAGTGAACAGCTCTCTATGATTTTGCTTTGTTAGATACAGGTTATTCCAATAGTCTGTTAGCCTTGCTAAAGCAGAGTTAGATTACAATTGTTATTGGAAATCAGCCTTGTACAAGGAAGAAACCTAATAAAACACCTATGGACAGCCATATATATATATATTTTTTTTATCTTCACCCTAGGATATTTTTTCCATTGCTTTTCAGAGAGTAGAAGGGGGAGGGGTGGAGAGAGAGAGAGAGAGAAACATCAATGTGAGAGAGGCACATCGATTGGTTGCCTCCCGCATGTGCCCTGACCGAGGCCCAGGATCGAGCCTGCAACCCAGGTATGTGCCCTTGGCCAGAATCGAACCCGGGACCCTTCAGTCCGCGGGCCGACGCTCTAACCACTGAGCCAAACCAGCCAGGGCCACATCTATATTTTTTATTCATGCTCCTCTGCCGTCACCCACGTGGCGCCTGCCTCCTCCTGCCTCACTTTGGTGCATGCAGGGGACGCAGCTTGCTTGCAGACGTGGAATGTAAGTGACCATATCTGAAAAGCAAGCTGCGATCTTAAAGTTACACGCAGCCCCTCACATTTCCACGCCACCGTCCTTTCACTTAGGATGCTCGGTAACAAGGGCTACGGCATGGACAGCTTTCCGCTCTTTTTGGTCTGTTCCTTATTAACTGTATTTGGTAAAACAAAATCTTAATTTTGGTGGTTTTGAGGAAAAGTGCTTAGAGTTGAAATTCATAAATGGGCAGTTAATCGTCTTCTATAAAGTTTCAATCTCCCATTTTCAAAGAGTAAAAGGATAAAGCTCATGTTGAATGTCTTGACTGTTTGTGGGCTGGTCGTGTAGATTTGCTGCTCCACGTATACATGTATGTACCTCTAAAGCCGCTGTGTCTGCTGCTGCTTTCCTTGTCAGTGTTGAAGACCAGATGGAGCAGTCCTGCTTGTACTTTTGGGACCTTTTGGAAGGTAGTGAGAAAGCAGTGGTAGGAACGACATGTGAGTGTTCTCTACTCTGGACCTACGCAGTAAATACTGAACTTTCTGTCTAGAAGTTTAGAATGATATTGGGGGCCGAAGCTCTGCCAGTCCATCAGAACCGACATGTCTGACCACACTGCGTCCATCGGGAGGGTGATCTCCCTGCTTAGTGCTCTTAAAAGCAGCCGTGGTGTAACTGCACTCATCACACTGCAACCAGGGGGAGCTTTGAAGCGGGAAGTCACTGGGATTTGGGAACAAGAGCTCAGGTCTGGTGCTAGCTTTGACGTTGGCTTGACCATTTTGGGGTTCAGTTCTCCATTCTGCATAGTCGTACCTGTTCTATTTCAGAATCTTAAATCTACACATTGTTTATGTCAAGGCCTGTCTACCGGGTCTGCCTAAGAAAATATGAATGGTTTGGCTACATTGTCTACTGAAGCATTGTCGTCTATTGATCCGGAAATGAGCTGGAGAGAAAGAGTTTCTTTTGGCTTCCTACATAGACCTTGGCCCAGTGCTCAAGTAGAAATGGCCAGACATGAAGTCCATAGTTTTGTGTACTAGCCTAAGATAATGCAAACTCATTAGAAGCTAGTAAACATTTTTGTTAATAGTGATTAATAAATACTCTCTATAACTGTGACGAAATTTCTAAGTCCTTTCAAGTTTCAATCACAGAAATTTATTTCTTGGTTAGAATGCACAATGTTATAACTACTTTGGAAAATAGTTTGTGTGTTTTTAAAAAAAATAAAATTAAGTGAACACTTACTATATAACCAAACAATTATACTTCTAGTACCTGAGAGAACTGAAAGCATATGTTCTTATAAGTATTTATACATGAATGTTCATACCAGCTCTATTCATAATAGCTCCAAACTGCACACAGCCCAGATGTACATCACCTGAAAATTGATAAACAAAAGGTAGTCTATCCTTGCAGTGGAATCTACTCAGCAATTAAAAAAGGAATGAAGTTTTCATACCTGCAACAACATGGGTGAATTTCAAAATAATGGTGCTGAGTGAAAGAAGCCAGACAAAAAATAAGTATACATGTTGTATGATTCCATTTATATGAAATTCTAGAAAAGACATAACTAGAATGATAGCAGGTCAGCAGTTGCCAGGGAGTTTGGGGAGGGGATTGATTACAAAAGGGACATGAAAGAACGTTTTGAGTTGATGAAAATGTTCTATGTCATCATTCTGGTGGAAGTAACATGACTGTGCACTTAAAATGGGTGAATTTTGTTTGTAAATTACATCTCAAAGTTGATTTTCTTAAAAAAAAAAGACAAAAATCTATGCCATAGTACACCTGTGAAAGGATTAATAGACACAAATCAAATATGGGAACTCTGCTTAGTTTGGGAATCATGTTTTTAGTGGATATTAAAAATGAAACAGACTAAGACCTATTTATGGTGTAGTGACTTTAACATCATTTTAAGATTGTTTTTCTTGATCATCAAAGGGAGATGTGCTAGGAGTGACATAAAGCATAACTCAAGAGTAAAGTCTTAATAATGGAGTTTTGTAGTTTAAAAATCCCTTAGAGATGGTCCCAGATCGGGTTTTCTAATGGCTCTATGTTTGAGGAGCTTTTACTTCTCTAAAGCCTTAGTTACTTGGGGACGACAGATTGCTAGTTGTGATGTCTTGGGAGCAGATGGGAGAAATGCCTTTTCCTTAAGCTCAGGAAATAAATGTGTGCCTCTGCAACATACTTGAGTCTTTGATAAGGATTTCTGATTTTTAGTAATTTTTCAAATAGTGGAAATGGAGACCCAGAGAAACTTACGTGACTTGCTAAACTTTGGGATTCTGATCTTTAAAATTTATATTGATTCAGCCTGACATAAAGATGGACTGCATCTTTACTTTTCAGGTACTGACCAGTTCTTTGAATCCCCTCAAATGTAGAATGTTGTGATGACACTATAATTAGGATAAAATTATATTAGGATTTCTTTTCCAAATAATTTTCCATGATAACTGAGTCTTAATCACTCTTTCTTAGACAAACATATGAAAGATCTACTGTCTAAATTGCTGAACTCAGGCTATTTTGAAAGTATCCCAGTTCCAAAAAAAGCTCAGGAAAAAGAAGTATCAGTGGAGGAAGAAATGCTAATGAAATCAGAGAAGAAAAAACAATTATTGAAGACTGAATCTGTCAAAGAGTCAGGTTTGTGTGCTCTGTGAAATTCTTTAAGTGGTTGCATTTTTAACACTTCAAATGAGTCAAATTATTGTGAAATGATTGCCTTATTTTAATTTGTTAGCGTCTACGTGCACGGAAATCTTTACTTGCTATAGGATAAGCCTCGACTTAGGAAACATCTCTAGGCTTTATCACCACGATTTACCTTCTATTAAGAGAGAACCTTAATGGAAACATTAGGTTACACTTTGTTACAAGAGAGTACGGTCCACTGTTAAGATGAGACATTTATGGACTTTGAATCTCTTTGTTAAGCTACTTAGTAGGATAATTCCATTTGAAATTATTTAAAATGTAAGTTATAGTAGAATCCAGTACTGCAGTAGAACAAGAGTGTAAATAACCTAAGGTTAACATTACCGATTCAGGAAAAAGTTGACAAAATAAATATAATATTTCCAGTAAAGGAGAGATACTCTTCAAAATTCCACTTTTGGGGGGAAGAAATACTGAGTAGATGACACTTTTGCTTTTGTTTGTGGAAGCTGGATTTATTTAAGAAATATTACTTCTAAGGAGGTGGTCCAGGCAGGGTTGCGGAAGCCACTTCCTCTTGGTTCTTAATACTCAATCCAGAGCTTCTGTATCTTTGCTCCCTTGCTCTCCTCCCAACCTTAAACCGGCTGGTAGGAGGCCTTTAAGGGCTATATTTCAAGCCGAGATGACTAATTTTTACCCCATGTAATTCCAACGTGAAAGAGGCTTTGTGGGTCAGAGGAGGTAGTCTTAGTTTTAATTATAAGTCAGTTTTTAACTGTAACTTGACTTGGAAAAGGATCTATATGAGGAGAGCTGTTAGCTTCAGCTACCCTCAGACCACACGCTTTTGATCAGCAAGCAATAGCGAATATACTGAATTTTACTATCCTATTTCTGTAACTCCTCTGAAATATGTTGCTTAGAATGAATTAGCTGTAATCAGTCTGAAAACTTACAGTTTACCTAGTATTTATTCAATATTTCTTTTATCTTTCCAGAATCTCTTATGGAATTTACACAGCCAGAGATACACCCGCAAGAGGTAAGGTCCTGAGAGGTAATTTGCTGATTCAGTTCTGGAGCCTTCGGGTAGGGTTGTGGTCGGGAATTCCTGCCCCGGAGCTGGACCCCGTACGCCTGAATCCTGGCTCTGCCCCTTACTAGCTCAGTGACTTCGGGCAGGTACCTGTGTCTGTGATCCTCATGCCCAAGGTGGGGGGAATGGGGATGCCCGCCTCGTGCCATTCTGAGGGTTAAAGGACTCAGCTTAACTTCTGAATTACTTAGACTTTGGCCTGGCACACAATAGCTGCTTATGTTAGCTGTTACTGTTGTATTTGGCCTTGTGTTAGAATTTAAAAATGGGTAGAATCTTGCTCACTCCAAAATTTACTCAGGTTGGTAACAGAGGAGGGTATTTGTTCTTTTTGAAGTGACATTGAAATTCATAGAAGCTGAAAAGCATGGGAGAGGCAAAATTCAAAGTATTGATTGATTGGTATATAATGGAAATGAAAGTCTGGGAATCCAGGAAAGCTGGGCTTACGTTAAACAGTCTGACTGTGTTGTTGGACTGGCCTCTGCCTTAATGTTTCAGGGTGTCAGGTGCGTAGTGAGAAATGCAAACTTGGAAACTTTTAAAGTAGCGATCTGTATCCGAGTTGCCTAAGACTGCTAAGAACTGCAGGTCATGGTGCCACGTTTACCTGATTGAGGCTCTTTTATCGAGGTTATTCGACTCTGCCAGTCAAGTACAGATCGCCACGTATCAAATACCAGAGTCTGCATTTCTGTTCATTGAGGGGAAAGGAATGGACAAAAATGTAGGACAGTGTTTGCAAGTAGAATCAAGACGGAAGTTCCCTGTTAGCGCGTGGTTCACCAGTGGACAGAGGAGTGCTAAGAGAGCTCCCTTATTCCCCTCCAGGCCTTCTATATATTTGGTGCCTCAGCACATTTTTTCCTCTGGTCTAGTTTCTTAACAGACGCTACATAGCAGAAGTAGATTATTCAAGCAAACAGCATGACGTGCAGTCTTGGGAAGCAGATTATGCTAGAAAACCAAACCTCCCGAAGTGCTGGGAGATGCTCACCGAGCCAGATGGCGAGGAGGGGAAACAGGACTCCTTCGAGTCCTGGGAGTCTTCCGTTAAGCTCCAGGAGCTGGCAAAGCCTGCGGTTTCCTCAGAACACAGGGAACAAGAGATGGCGAAGCTCAGGGCCGCTCTGCAGGAAGAGAAGCCGCAGGACGTCCCCAAAGCCAAGCTAGCTCCTAGCCGGTGGAAGCCAGAGACGCCTAAATCCAAAGCAGGGTACGTTCCCGAGGAACAGAAGAAGCCGGAGACACCAAAGCCTTGGCCAGTGCAGCTGCAGAAAGAGCAGGAGCCAAAGAAGCAAACCGCAAAGTCCTGGGCCCCTTCTCTGCAGGGCGAGCAGGACCTCAGCAAGCCGTGGGCCGCTCCCCTGCGTGAAGAGCCGGGCTCGGGACAGCCGGACACTCCCGCGTCCTGGGGAGACGACGCTGAGGGTGAGAAGCCCCCTTCAGCACCACGGTCACCCAGTTCCCCCGAGCCCTGGGGCGCGGCTGCAGGGAGCCTCGCACCCAGCCACCGGCTCCTGCCCGGGAAGTTTAACGCGGACCCCAAAGATGTGAGTCGCTCTCTCTCGGTCTGCTTCTGGCCGTGTAGACATAAATAAGGACTTGTGGTCACGATAACCTTTTGGTTTTCTTTAAAAAAAAAAAAATTAACCAAACCCATGTTCAATGAATGTATACAGTACTTCACTTAAACTATTTCATATGTAATTTATGGTTTTCCCTTGAAAATTGGAAGTAGACCTAGTCCGTTGAGCCTAACCTGAGATGAAATTTCCACAGTGAAAAAAATACCGTTTTAATGTCCAAAATGAAATGACGTGATATGACATCAAAATAGTGGATAGTTGAGACAAGATGACTGTGTAAACAAGTGAGAACTGGGGATGCATGTCACGGGTGAGAGCCTTGTTAGATGGTATGTCACCGGGTGTCTTCCACCTGGCACGTGGGCGACCTTTTCCCACAGATGTTACACTTTTCTGTGTTCTCTCGCTTCTCTCTCTCTCTCATTTGCAGTCCCTCAGATTAGCCTGTTCTCTTTGAAGAAGGGACACGGTGGTTGCAGATATCCCAGTCATTGGGGACCGATCTGAGTTACTTTTCCATTCGTTTCATCATAAGAATTTTCTTGAGGCGGAAACCATGGACATTAAATATTCTGGAATTAGGTTTTGGAGGGTGAGATTTAGTTCAGATAGAAGGCCTCGTTCTATTCACAATAATTCATCTATTTCAGGAAGAGAAGAGGGCTTGCAGTGAATAATCCTTGGATACAGTGCTAGTTAGTGTTTTATTTTTATTCAATTGTAATTTATGTACCGCTATTTGAATGCAGGCTCGGTGCACCTTGTGTGCTGAGGCGCGTGAGCCTTCTACCCGCCCGCAGTGCTCTTCATCTCTAGCAGTGTGCCTCGCACGTCTGTGCCATAGTAGCCAAAAGTTTCTGAGAACTCTCTTGTCCTCTTAACAGTGTGGACAGCATTTTGCTTGGGGAAATCAGAGCGTTGCATTTTATAAATATACTTACTCTTACCTCCGTTCTACCTGAGGAGAGTTTTAGAATTACTTGTCTCCTTTTGTTCTCCTTTCTTCCTATTTTCTTCAAGTGCTAATACTAATTTTAGCTTCTTCCTGACCCTGCAGAAAATGGGTAGCGTTACTTCATTAACCAGATGTTACACACAGTAATTGTAACATGTCAACCATTTTGAGAAACTGACGTTTAAAAACTCAGTTTTATACCTCAGTAAAGCTGTCCCCCCCCCCCATAAAGCTGTTTAAAAAAGCCCAACTTAAAATTCCGCCGGGTAGAGCAATGCTGAGCCTTTACGATACCACAGTATTGATGCCATGCCGTTTGCTGAACAATTTAAAATCAGGGGTGTTCCATTGGAAAGGTCAGAACTCATTTAATTTGCTTTTATGGCACCGACAGCATTATCCTGAAATTGCAAGGCCTTTCGGTGACTGAGAGGACACTGTACAGTCCGGGCTTCGTCTGTCTGTCTTGCGACCTCAGCTGTCTAGGACATGACCAAGTGCAGTCAAGGGCAAAACAGGCTTCAGAGACAAAAGACGAGATAACGTGAATTTAAGCACTAACGCTCATCCTTTTCTCCTAAGAGAGCTTTTCATTTATTCACTTAGGGTCTATTAACTCTTGTTTTATGCGATGCTTTGATAAATTTAGCGGTGTGACGTCCGAGTAAATGAAACGTTGACGAGATGCCGGTAGGGAGAGGCGGGCGGAGCGCTGGAAGCAGTGACCGTAAGCATGCGGTCTAACCCCGGGTGTGCGGCCCCCGAAGCGGGGTAGCCCGAGGGCTGCCCACCCTGCGAGCACCAGGAGCCCTTCACAGTATGCGTGCTTTCCAACAAGATATAATACTGCATTTCCCCAGTTCTGGGATATATATGTCTTCATTTTTTACATCTTAATGTTTCTGAAATCAGATACATCTTAAAAATGGAATGCGTATTTAAGGGGGTAGTAGTAATTTTTTCCATAGGGAAAAAATAAATCATTGGTGTGTCTTACAGTCAGTGGCATCTTATCCTAGCAGATGTACACTAACCGGAGCCCATGATGAGAGAGCTTCCTGCCGAGGAAGTCCTTTATTTTGGGACTTCTCTTAAAAAATAGGATGTTTTAGAGAGATTCCCATTAAAGTTATTCCGAAGGTGGAAAAAGTGTTTAAAGGTTGATTAAACTATTTAGAAAATGCATTTATGTGGAAATTCTTGACCTGAGATAAATCTGATAAATGAGCATTGCTGTATGTTTTGATTTCATTTAGATGTCATGATAGGCTAAGATTCCTGAATTAGGCTGTTGAATTTGAATTTTACTCTTCACACATTGTGGGCTTGTCTCGTAGGTGCCTGAGCCTGTGCATCAGCCTGTAGGTTCTTCCTCTACCCTTCCAAAGGATCCAGTGTTGAGGAAAGAAAAACTGCAGGATCTGATGACCCAGATTCAAGGAACCTGTCACTTTATGCAAGTATGAGTCGTTATTGAATGAATCTTAAATGATATTCACGGGGCTGCTCGCTTCTGACCTGAGGCATAATGAAGTTAAGAGCACACTCATCCAATGAGTAGGAATCCTGGCTCTGCCACTTCCTAGCTTGTAGAGTTTAGGCAAGTTACTTAACTCTCTGCCTCGGTTTCTTTTAAAATTAAGGATAATAGTTTCTATTCCTGTTTGTTGTAATAAAGTGAATTAAACACGTAAAAAGCTTAAAGTGCTCAAATACTAATACTGCTCTAGATCATCAGTAGTTTCCACTGAGATTGCGAGAGCCTACTCTATGCTTGGTATTCTGATAGGTAGGTGCCCTTGTGTAGAGAGAATCATAAGACATTCATTATCTTTAAGGAGTTTATATTCCAGTTGTGTAAGATTGTGAATTTGTGTTAAGTCAATAGTTAAATGTTAAATTGTGTCATACAGATTCTTAGAAAACTTCAGAATAGTGTGATATTACTGAGAGATGAAATAGACAAATAAGACGCCCTTGTGTAGTAAAAAGATCTTGAGCTTTGGAATTAGATATGTGTTTAAATCCCACTTCTACCAGTTTACCAGCTGTAGAATCTATGGCAGGTTATTTAGCTTCCTTTATTTGTAAAATGAAGGATTTGCTATCCCCTCATATTATCTGAAGATTTAACTAAAAGACTAAAATGATCACCACAAGTGTGTTGCTTCAGCGCTCAAAATGTTGGAAACATTTCTGGGAGAACCACAGTTGGCAGGTGGCAGAAGAGAAGGGCTTCTTATTATGAATGTATTTAATAGCATGAGCTAGTCTAGAGGTTGAGATAATGTAATCAGACCCTCTCATGGTTTGGGTCTGATAAACATGAGGGTTCAGTCTGTACTAGGATTAATGCCTTGGTTTAAGGAGTTTTCTTTTCCAAGGTAGGCCTTAGAATTTAACTCTTAATTTCTGCTTCTGCAAAGACTTAGGTTATTAACCTTTTGAGATAGTTATTAGCTAGGTTCCTCTAGCTAATAAGCTATGGACAAGATCATGAATAATTTAATAGTAATAGCTCTTAAATGAATAACCTTTGTTTCTATTCATTATTTAAAAACTTGGCTTTAGGAATCTATTCTGGATTTTGACAAACCTTCAAGTGCAATTCCATCGTCACAGCCGCCTTCAGCTACTCCAGGTAGCCCAGTAGGTGTGTAATCATTCTTAAGGCTCTGAACAAACAGCTGTAGGTCTAGCAATTATTTCTTTTACAAATAATTTTACTCTAGATATCTTAAGGGTTAAACTGTGTCTCTGTGTTAATTTATTCTAAGTGCATCCATATGTTGTCAGTTATATACAGGTAAATTACCATTAGAATAACAGTGTATTTAACTGACTTGTTTGCATTTTGAAGAAGGTCTCCAGATGGGTGAATGGAAATGCACAATAGCTGTTTTTGCAGTTTTTTATGTTCTTGGAATGAATTCTGACCAGAACTTGCTTGACTCCTTTCGACTTTATAAATCTGGCGTTGAGGATCCCAGGTCCTGACTATGAGTGAAATTACCTCAGTGATAATTACTGAGGAACATAGTAATTAATGACGGAGCCTAGATCTGAATCTGGTCTGGCGCTTCACACTTCAGGCCTTTTGCTCTACACCAGTTCATCTTGGGAGGGGTGATGTAATCAAAGACATAGTCCAGCTGTAGTAAGAAGTATACACCAGCTAGATGACAGAGAAATTCCTGGGTGAAGTAAGGAATAACTAGAGGAATTAACAGAAGTGATGGACATGAACAAGAAGAAACCAAACAGAAACTATGTAACTAAAAAGTACATTTAGAAGTGTGATCAAAGAGGAAAAATACCTCGAGACAGATGACCCAGCTAAGATTTACTTTGAAACTTGAAACTTACATGTATGAATTAATTACTATCCATCATAGCTCAGATTTTATCTTTTACATTACTATTACCCGTTATTTTTAAAAGTCATATTTCTGTTCTTTTGGAGGCCTTGTGCTGCTTTACTCATTTAACCTTGAAATGTGTATCACAGATGGAGCTAGTATCCTGTTCTTCTGCAATCCTCTCAGACTCTGTAGGGCTCTAATAGAAAATTCATGATGGACTTGAGACCTACTTTTTTTAGCTACTGCTTTTTTTTCCTTTTCTGTAGAGTATGAACTTTAGTTTCCACCCAGTTGATATGCATAAACTTTTCTCCTCCCTCAGTGGTTTACTGTTGATTTCACTCTCTGCAGCATCTACAGAACAGAATCTATCCAGTCACAGTGATTTTCTTCAAGAGCCATTACAGGTAACTTCTCCAAATTAATCTTTCATTTACTCTTCTTTGCTATTCAGGGAAGAAACTCTTGCTTTGGCAAGAATAATCCAATGTAGTGATTCTAATATACATGTCTAGTTCTTAGATTAAGTACAACCAGTCCTCAAAAGATTCCCTAATGACCATGGGCGAGGCATAGATTATAATAGAGAAAGCTAGTTGACTTAGTAAGGAAAGAGCAAACCTGAGGATTTCAGAAGTACTATGTCTGTGAATCTTACTTTGCTACTGAGCTACCTAAGTAACTTAATGTATCAACATAGTAAAGGGTCTAAAGAAAGTAACTAATTTTTTAAAACTCGTGGTTAGCCAGTCTCCCTGTAACAAAATGTAACAAAGTAGATAACATTCTGAGGAACTGATTTTCACAGAACACACTTAGAGGTATGAAGGGACCACATCACTGAGATCTGTAAATGCCACATTGCATTTCTGTCAATGGTAAGTTCAAGGTTCACTAGTTTTCTGGTTATCTTTTTAAAAAATTTCCTCTGGATCCCTCTGAAAGCCGTATTGACCATTTTCTTGACAGTAGTTGCTTTGACAGTAGGTTAAATATTTTGACCAGGTGGGTCAATAGTTGTCTTCCTTCCCTTCCAGAAACTTCTGAGGAAATACCATTTGTTTACAGTTGTTTATATTTAGTTTGATAAGGTGTGGCTCAATTTTCAAAATGTGTTTGTTGAGCCAGGCGTTTCACCCCAGTCAATGCTGCATCTAAAGAGCTCCATGTCATCTGTTCCAGCTGTTAGGGTTCTACATGAGGCTTTCAGTTGACTAATTTTTTTTTTTAAAGCCACTGGTCTGGTTTAGTAGTTCTGGTTTGTAACATTATATTTACTCATCAATACTTAAAATGACCTTCAGCTGGTGTACTTAAAGAGCAATAATTTGGAATCAAGAACTACCATAATTTCTAAATGACTGCTAATGTAAAGAATGCCACTTCATCTTTTTTTGTTAAGTGAACCTTTTAACTAAAATTCAAGTCTTTTAAATTTTACTGTCAAGTGGCCTGAGTTGCCTTAACTTAGCATCTGGGGATCTTTCTGTGGCTGGAGATGCGTTACGTCCCCACAACAGCCAGTCCCGCTTGTTGAGGGCAGCTGTCTAGGAGAGGGTTAGAAGAAAGGTCTAGTTTTAGAAACTCTCCAGTCTCATAATAGTTCTAATATTTTGGTCAGATCTAAATTATACCTATTTATTTAGTTATATAAAATGTCCTAAAGGATATCAATATTTTTTCCCCTAAGGCCTTTTTCTTTGGTCCCCATCTCCTTCCCAAGAAGTGTTATATCATGAGGACCCCTTCTAGAAGGTCACTGAAGAAATGTAACTAGCTTGATATTGGCTACCATTAATTAGTTTTCAATTCACCCATTTTATTGCTTGGGCTTCTGAGAACCACATCGAAGTATTTACATAAAAGGAGTGGATTCACTGATACTTCAGGCCTTGTGACTGCTAGATTTTCATGGGCCGCTTTCCATTATATCCAGTACCTGTTGTACCATAGAATTCCCAGCCACTAGAATTCCTAGTTTTTTATTGGTTAGTTTCACAGCCTTCATTCCTATCTGCTTTTTCCCAACTTTTACTTTATTATTAGCTTAAATTTTTTTGTTAGAATTTTGATGCCATTGTGATTTATACAGAGCGTATCCTTTCTATTTATATTTCTACCTACCTCTTTAAGCCCCTGAGAGCGCTCAGGGTAAAAGCATAGTTGCTGTGCTGCCTGGCAGAGCTGTACCTAGAGTGTTAGATTTTCCCTGAGCTCATCTTCCAGTGAACTGCTGTTGAGGCCAGATTGAAAATCTAGCCCCAGGTTTCCAGGGCCAAGAACCTTGATAAGTGAAGATGGGACTAGATGTGTCCCTTTGGTGACCAGGCCTGGAAAGGCAGGGTAGCTGACTGCTTGGGTTTGAATCTCAGCTCTGCCACTTAATTTAGTGTGATCTTGGGTAAATTACTTAATCCTTCTTTGCTTCTGCCTGATTGTGAATAAAATGGGGATAGAAGTGCCTTCCTCACAGGCTTGCTGTTGGATTAAATGTGTGTAAAGTGCTTAGCACAGAGTCGGGCACTAGTGAGTGCTCAATAAGAGTAACGTGAGGAAGCCCAAGGCCCAAGAAATATAAAGTGAACAAAATGTGCCTTTTATAATGTTTTATGTTTTCCTGTGTCCAGGCTGCTGCTTCTCCAGTTACTTGTAGCTCAAATGCTTGCTTGGTTACTGCTGATCAGGCTTCTTCGGGATCTGAAGCAGAGTTTATGACCTCAGAGACTCCTGAGGTAATGCGAGACCAATTGTCTTGTCCTCTCTTCTGTCTTAAAGAGTAGCAGAACCAGCTTATTTTATGAATTACAGGCATGATCAGTTGAATGATTTAATATTTACACTGTACCAATGTGTTGCTTTCTGTAGATGTGGTCCTGGAATTCATACAGGTCATGTTATGGTGACTTTGCTGTAAAGTAGACTTAATAGAGTCTTGCTTTATCAGATGCAATACATGTGTCCAAATTGCTAATGTCAAAAAAGATGAGAAGTTCTGGGTAGGATTAGGCCAAATTTCTCACTATTTTATATTGAAGAAATACTTAGAAGAAAAATCTTTTTATTCATATAGCTGTGAAGCCTCAGTAACTTTATAGTGGTACTGTTAGCACTTGCTCAATTGGAATGATTTACATTCTTTTTTTGGCTAATTCTGTCAAAAGCATTTTATAGTATTATATTTGTGCTTTCAATTCTAAAGTGATAGTTTTTGCTAATAACTTTAAGCAAATCCTTGAGATGTAGCAAGAAAGGATAATTTAAAAAAATTAATATAGCAATTCTTAGGTTTTATTGGGGGGGGGTTAACTTATATGAGAATATGTATTCCTTATAGAATATAAGAAAATATAGATGGACATTAGTTTTTATGGTACAGACTTGGTCTAAATTGAAATTACTTGGTTGCTCATTTCAAGAAGAGGAAATATTTGCTACCAAGTGAGTCACAGCCGTCTGCTTCATAATCTGAGTGGGATTGAATTTTGGTATCTTTTTAAGCCTCTGGATTTATAATCTGTTAAATCAATGTTTCGCTTATCCCCTTAGATAAGAATTATTTAAATTAGATCAAGCTTGGTTCTCTTTCTCAGGCAGCTGACTTAGAAATCCAGTGATAAGATTTTAAAATAGGGAAAAATCTACACCGACCCAGGAGCTAATCCCAGGTTTCTTTAAAGCCTGATTCTTCTGTATAAATTTGGAATAATATTAGATTCTTAGCCTAATGGAAAATACCATTTCAGGGTTTGAAAAGGGCTAGATAACTCATGGAAAGTTCAGCCCCTCATCCGTGAGACTGATCATCCGTGAGACTCTTTCACTTGGTCAGCAGGCTGTGTAGAGCAGACGCTAGTGTGCATCCTCAGCAGATGAGATTTGAAATTGTAAGCAGAAGCTGTTCGTTTGCATTCCCGTGTCCAGTTGTCACCCTGCGGAACCTGCTGACTTAGGCCGGTCTGGGGGTTAGTGTATGTTAACTGCTTGTTACACGGCAGGCGATTGGCTGATGCGGCATTTCTCCTCCCCAGGCAGCAGTTCCCCCGAGCAAGCAGCCACCTTCACTGGCCTCTCCAAATCCTCCCACGTCAAAGGGCCCTGAGCAGGGCTTCCAGTCACCTCCAGTGAGCAGTGGTTCAGTAGCTGTTAGCTCAGCGCCCTTTCAAGCCATGCAGACAGTGAGTATGGGACGCGCATGGTGACTGCAGCTCATTATTCCTGTTGAAAAGCCGTGGTTTCTCTTACATCTGCTGCCGGATACTGTGTGAATAAATTTGCTACTTTGTTACTCTTACTTACATTTGTCCAGTGGAAATACTGTTTGTGGTGGCAGAGGAAAGCCTCAAGAATTTTGAATGGGTGTTTTCTCAGAGCATTTCCCCCTGTGTGAAAATCAGTAGCAGGCAAAGCTGAGGACCCCTGTTAAACAAATAAACGGTGTGGGCGAGAAACATAACTTTGTCGGGATACTAACCCTTTCTATTATCACGCTAGTGATGGTCCATAGCATCAGTAACCGGACACAGAGGGCGCAACCCGGGTGTTCTGTCATTGTTGAAACTTTCATTTGATTTCATCTTGACCTCATGCAAGTTTTCAGAGGATTGTTCAGATTTGTGTGGTATTTTGGATTACATACATTACAAATTGTAGTTTAAATTTTTTTATGGTAATATTACAACTAGGTTTGTATGTTTATTCTGAAAATACAGAATAGCATAGAACAGTTTTAGGGGAAAACACACACAAAAAGGCTTAGCCAATAAGCACCTTCCCTCATGGTGCCTCACGGCCCACTCCAGGCGGGCACTCCTGAGCGCAGCGCAGGGACTTAGGCTGGGGAACCCACACCCCGCTTCACCAACCCCAGCACGTCCTGCGGGCCGCTTGGAACAGCTTAGTTTCTTCGCTTTCCCTCTCTCCCTGTCAGTCCCTCTTGCACAGAATTGCCACATTGCTTGTACTGACTTTTTCCTGTTTCTAATTAAAAGCAAACAGTGGTTTATTACAGAATGAAATTGACAGTCCTTGCCTGACAGTCAGTAACTTTCAAAGTCTCGTGTAACAACCTGTCAGACTGGTCTCCTGCACGCGCCCGCACGTTCCTGTCACAGTGCCTTTGTTGCTCACGTCAGCCTGTTTTCTTCACCTGTCTGGATTCTGTCCAGTACAGATTGGTGCTCATTCGTTCATTCATTCAAAAACCAAGTAGTTATGGAGCCAGGCACTGTTCTAAAGTTTCTGGGGTTGTAACAGTGAAAAAGAGACAAGTCTTTGTGCTGAAGAATCTTACTCCTTTTTTTTGGAGGTGGGGGGCTAGAGAGAAAAGTATGTATATAACACATCAGGTGCTATGTGTTGCGAGGAAAAATAGAGGAAGGTAAGGAGACTAAAGAGTAATCGAAGCGCAATTTTACAGACCATGGCCAGAGTCTGCACAGCCCATTGCCTGCCACGTGATAGAAATTCAGTACACTGCAGAGTTTTAAAAAAAAATATCTTTATTGATTTCAGAGAGAGGGAAGGAGAGGGAGAGAGAGAGATAGAAACATCAATGATGAGAGTCATTGATCGGCTGCCTCCTGCACGCTCTTGACTGGGGATCGAGCCCGTAACCCGGGCATGTGCCCTGACCGGGAATCAAACCCCGATCGCCTGGATCCTAGGTGGATGCTCAGCCACTGAGCTACGCCCGACTGGCCCACTGCAGATTTTTTTCATTCATCTTTAGGTTTTGAAAGAGTGCCACTTTCCCCTAAATAGCTTTCATTCTCAGTGAGCACAGTAGCAGGAAGATTGACTTTCGTACTTGGGTTTTAATTGTCAGAAATCAAATAGAAGCTTTTGTTTTTATGATCGTAAAATATGCATAACATAAAATTTACTGTTTTAACCATGTTTAAGTATATAATTCAGTGGCATCCACAGCATACAACCATCACTGCTGTCTATTTCCAGAGTTTTTTTTGTCATCTAAACAGAAACTCTGGACCCATTAAATAACCCCTTATTCCTCCCTCTTCCAAGCCCCTGGTAAATCTCTTCTACTCTGTCTCTCTGAATTTATCTATTCTGGGTACCTTGTATAGGTGGAATCACAATATTTGTCATTTTGTATCTGGCTTATTTCACATAGCATAATGTTTTCATTCATGTAGCAGGGATCAGAATTTCATTCTTTTTTCTGGCTAAATAATATTCCATTGTGTATAACATTTTGTTTATCCACTCATCTATTGATGGACACTTGGGTTGTCCCCATCTGTTGGCCATTATGAGTAGTGAACATTGGTGTACAAATATCTACTTGGATCTCTGCTTTCCATTTTTGGGTATATGTCTAGAAGTGGAGTTGTTGGATCACATGATAATTCTATGTTTAGCTTTTTGAGGAACCATGTACTGTTTTCTACGGTGGCTGCACCGTTTTACATTCCTATTAGCAACACAAGAGGATTCCAGCTTGACCAAAATGTTGCCAACACTTGAATTGTCTTTTTTTTTTTTTTTTTTAATAATAGCCATCCTAATGGGTATGATGAAGTAGTATCTCAGTGTAGTTTTGATTCCTATTTCCCTAATAACTAATGACGTTGAGCATCTTTTTATGTGTTCATTGGCCATTTATCTTCTTTAGAGAAACGTGTATTCAAGTCCTTTGCCCATCTCATAGAAGTTTTTGAATGTTGCAGAGTTTTGCTGGATGTCACCCTGAACCCTTTTCTATGAAACTTCCCGAATGACAGTATATATACCCTTGTCTTTTAAGGTATTTAATGTTAATGCACCTCTGCCTCCACGGAAAGAACAGGAAATAAAAGGGTCCCCCTATTCCCCTGGCTACCATCAAAGTTTTACTACAGCAAGTACACAAACACCACTCCAGTGCCAACTGCCAGCTCTACATGTGGAACAAACTGTCCTTTCTCAAGAGACTGGTAAGATCTGCGTGTGTGATATTTGAAGACTTAGATGACAGCTAATGGAAGGGAAGGAACTGTGCAGTGACACCTGAGCAGTTTTTTCCTGAGTAGTAAGCATTCTCTCTCTACATGTTCAAGTGCTGACAAAGACTTAATGCCTTTCCCTCTATTTAGTGAAGTTCACTTCAGCTTCTGTAGAGGTGGAACTCAGATGGTCGACTGGTATGAATATAGAGGCTCACACTTTTAACCCTGGGCGCTTTGATTGCCACAGACAGTGACAGAGGTGGATGGGGCATTGTCCGGCTGCTTTTATGAAGGGTTGGAAACCTTTCTGTTAACTCTTTTAGCACAGACTGGTGGCTCTTTGGCCTTTGCTCTTTTCTTTCTTCTTATAATAAAAGCATTGATTAATGCTACACTGTAACTTAGTATGCTTATTGCACTGTTTGCTTAGAGATGAGAGATTACTTTGATCTTTCATGCTCTTCTAAATCATGCAAGAATCAGCAACTTTGTAGTTATTTCCTAACTTAAGAGGCACTTGTAGATTTTTAGTGTTGGTATTTCAGACCCCCATTGAGTCTTCTAAATCTCGAAGCTGAGCAAATGAATTGCGTGCTCTGGGTGCTTGGTGAATCACGGAGGCCGTGACCGTAAGCCCCTGGACCTGGCCACAGATGATCTCACTCTCATCTCACCTGTACTGGGAAAACGCAGGGCAGGGGATTCACTGAAAGGAGATTTTTGTCATATGCCTTCTCAGTTACAGTAGTAATGAAAATCCATTTTCTTTTACTCCTTGATCTGGAGTATTTAGCCTTTTTTTTCTTTCATTGTGGTAAAATATATAAAACATAGAATTTATCATGTTGACCATTTTTAAGTATACGGTCCTGTGGCACTGAGTACATTCAGGCTTTTGGGCAGCCACCACCGTCCCCCATCTCCAGGACTCTTTCTCTTCTGCAGCTGAAACTCTGTTCTCATTTAACACTCAGTCCCTGTCCCCCTTTCCCTCCAAACCCCGGCAACCACCATTCTACGCTCTCCGAATGTGACTGCCCTGGGTACTTACCTTACGTAAGGGCTGTCACAATACTTGTCCTTCTGTGACTGGCCTGTTTCACTCAGCGTGTCACTCAGCCCAGTGTCTTCCCTGGTGATGTCAGAATTTCCTTCCTTTTTAAGGCTGAATAATGTTCCATGTAAGTATACAGGGTGGGGCAACAGTAGGTACAGTTATGAGTACACGGAACACAGGGTTTATTCTTGTATTATTATTTATTGATTATTGTGTTTTCCATACAAACAACTGTAAACCTACTGTTGCCCCACCCTGTGTATATAGAAAGCTATTTCTCTCTCTCTCTTTCTATATACACGTATATAGCAGCTTTTTTTTTTTTTTTAAAGGGAAACCATTGTATTAAAGGTTTTGATACATAGTGACTTTTAGGTATAAAGAATATTGAGTCTTGATGACAATTTAATTCATGGATTTTAAAACTGTTTCTTTAAGCAGCAGGTTATCCTGATGGAGCTATTCAAGTAAGCAACGGGAGCCTTGCCTTCTACCCGGCACAGACGAATGTGTTCCCCAGGCCCTCTCAGGCTTTCGTCAGTAGCCGGGGGTCTGTGAGAGGATGCACTCGGGGGAGATTACTGACCAACGCGTACCGGTCCCCTGGTGGCTATAAAGGTATGCTCTGCATAAAATTTAATTACACTGAATTATTTTGTTTATGTATTTACTTGACTCAAACTATTTTTACTTTTCCTGTTTCTTTTTGTAGTTGTCATTTATAATGTAGTAAAGAAGCCCCCATTTCTGCAAAATACAGTATTTAATATCCCTGTTCTCTAGAACAGAGGAACTTTTTGTATGAAAAGCAGATTCATCTGTTATTGACTGAAGTGAAACGTTGAGCATCTTTTTTCCCCCCCAGGAATGAATCTTGGTTTTCATAGTTGAATACGTTTTTGTTAACTGACTTGATTGCTCGAAATGTGTCATAATTAGACGATGCCCATTTTCTAGTTATTTGTCTATCAGAGTATGCCACAGATAAAAGCATAAACTTAGAGACTGTAATAGTGATATTCTCTTTAGTTTTAAATGTGTTTCCAAGTATTCCAGTCACGGCTCGGTGTTAGCAAAGTACACAGAAATCTTAACTACCTATTTACCTAACTACCACCATTTCCCAACCCCACCTGCATTCCAGCAATAGCAAATTTCTGCAGTTGGCTTATTTGAAGTGTGCAATATTTTATAAATGTCTGTCTTATTGTGGAAGCATATTGATAGAGTTTGCTTAAAGAAGGCATAAATCTAATGTTGGCATTGTAGGATCAGGTTTACTTTTAAAATGGTATACAATTAGACTATTTAAAAGTTTAGTATAAGTTTGCTCATAATTTTATGTAAGTTGTTTATTTATTAGGTTTTGATACTTATAGAGGACCTCCTTCAGTTTCCAATGGAAATTACAGCCAGCTGCAATTCCAGGCAAGAGAGTATCCCGGGACGCCTTATTCCCAAAGGGTAAGAAGAGTTGTCGGAGTTGAATAGTAGTCCCATTGTTGATGCTGAGCTGGTGATTTTTCTGTAGTGCAGTCATCATTTGTTTTGTATAAGGCACTCTTAGTTTTTACTCGTCAGTACTGTGAAGAGTTGAGTTGGAAGCTTTTCTAGTAACCCACCGAGGATCAGAGACAACTTAGAAGGTCTTGAGGACTGTATTAATCATGTTGTTTGTATTAATTCATGTCATCTTCAACCTGTAAGAGAAATGGGGGTTCAGAAACATGTTAAATAACTTGTCTAAGGTCACTCGGCAAGTAAATAGTAGAACTAAGATTAGAATGCAAGCTCCTTAACTCCATGAATTTTTTTTTTAATGTCTTTATTGATTTCAGAGAGAGGAAGGGAGAGGGAGAGGGATAGAAACATCAGTGATGAGAGAGTCATTGATCGGCTGCCTCCTGCACGCCCCCTGCTGGGGATCGAGCCCGCAACCCGGGCATGGGCCCTGACCGGGAATCGAACCGCGATCTCCTGGATCCTAGGTCGATGCTAACCGCTGAGCCACGCCAGCTGGGCGAGCGCCCCTGATTTTAAGTTTGCTATATTGCCTCAAATTTTACTTTTCTAGATATCAAGTATAGCAAAGCCCTTTTTAAAAACAAGTTTAATTTTTTGGTATATTCTGATTTGAATAGCTCAGCAGATATTCTTTACTATAAATGACAAAACTTTGATAGGACGATGTTAGACACTCCACCTTGGGAGCTCCCTGTCATCATCACATATGAACATATATGCTACATCAGCATTTTCACTTCTGAAGTTTTATAAGCCTTGAAGCACGGTATCCTACGGAGTTCTGTTGGAAATGTATGAAGTACCTGCACTAGAAGAGCCTGCAGTTCAGGGAGGAAAGCTGGGTGCCTGAACAAAGGCAGCCTTGGAAAGAGGCAGAGAGCACACCCTGGAGAACGTACCGAGTCGCCTAGTGACGTGTTTGACCCGATACCAACCACTTCTCTTGTGTGACCACAGGCGTGTTATTTAAACTTCCTGAGCTCTAGGTCCTCATCTGTTAGATGAAAACTCATCTGTTTCAATTGCTCATCCGACTCTGAAGTGCTGTGAGGATTACTCTGTGAGATACTCTGAAGATTAAATGAGCTAATACATAGGCTTAGCACCACACGCTGGGTGTACATCAGGCAGGCGGGTGTTAGCTGCTATTACGTGATCCTCAGGTACTGTGCGAAGGGGCTCTTTGGTTAATGTAGACTTCAGTAGTGGACCTGGCTGTTCTTTATAAGTTCTCACGTGAGGATATGCTTATTGATTTTAGAGAGAGGGGCAGGGGAGAGGGGGAGAGAAAGAGAGAGAAACAGAACATTGGTGAGAGAGAACATCGGCTGGTTGTCTTCTGTACTCACCAGACACGTGCCCTGACTGGGACTAGAACCTGAAACTTCCGCCCACGGGACAGCGCTCCTGCCGCAGCTCCAGGGCTGCTCCTGTCTTCTGTTCTTTCTGTTCTTAATCCTCAGCTGAGGCTCCCTTTTCCATTGCTTTTCAGAGAGAGTGGAGGCAGAGAGAGAGAGAAACACTGATGTGCAAGAGACACATCGATTGGCTGCCTCCCGCCTGTGCCCCGACCCGGGCTGGGGACGGAGCCTGCAGCCGAGGTCCATGCCCTTGGCTGGAATCGAACCCAGGACCCTTCAGTCCACAGGCCAGTGCTCTAGCCACTGAGCCAAACTGGCCAGGGCTGGTCCTGTCTGTTCTTCACACCAACATTCTAATATTTTTGTGCACTGCTTTAAATGTCTTCCTGAGGAAACATAATATATGAATAATAGTGGCTGCTATTGGAAAGAGGGCTCTAGGGGAGGAGGCTTAATTATTATATTCGTTGCATACCTTCTTGTATTATTTAAATTTTTTATTACCTGTATTAATCTACACCACTAAGTATTCTTCTCACGGGTTGTGTGGAGGTGGACTTTTACCATACCTGGAGGCAGTTTAAAATGCTGCCTCTTGAACGTTTTTTCTTGAAGATCATAGATTACATTTCCAGGGACTAATACATTCATACAGTATAATTCTTGTCAATTCCCCTGTCAAGACAAAACAAAGCCCTAACGTACTTTGTACTTGTCTTTATAGTTAATAGAGCAAGATTGAAATAGGCTGTGTTCCTGCTTTATTATCTCCCTTTTTTAAAAAATACATCTTTATTGATTTCAGAGAGAGGAAGGGAGAGGGGGAGAGAGAGAGAAACATCAATGATGAGAGAGTCATTGATCGGCTGCCTCCTGCACGCCCCTGACTGGGGATCGAGCCGGCAACCCGGGCATGTGCCCTGACCGGGAATCGAACCTCAGTCTCCTGGATCCTAGGTCGATGCTCAACCGCTGAGCCACGGCCAGAGGGGCTCTCCTTTTATATTGAGATGAGGGACAGAAGGCCATGCCATATTTTTAAATTTCTTTAATTGCCTAGCATTGTATCTAGGCCCTGGCTGGGTAGCTCAGTTGCTTAGAGCGTTGTACCTATACGCCAAGGTTGTGGGTCCGATCTCTGGTCAGGGCACATATGAGAAGCAACCGATGAATGCACATGTAAGGGGAACAACAAGTCGATGTATCTCTCTACCTTCCTCTCTCTCAAATCAATAAGAAATAAATTAAAAGATGTATTAACGTATCTAATCGGTCAGGTTCATTAACAGGTGAAGCAAGTATTGCTCCTGTTGCCCTTGTTATTTGTTTTTCTTGGCGTTTGGAAACGTCTGAGCCTCTTTGGAGGAGACCAGATTAAGGGCTCAGAGGACTTTAATCTTACAGAATTACCAGCCAGCAATCCTGGGTAATAACTAATGATTGTCTTGCATTTTGGGGGCCAAGGTAAACATTATGTGTTTGTTTTAGGATAATTTCCAGCAGTGTTACAAGAGAGGAGGGACATCTGGTGGTCCTCGGGCAAATTCAAGAGGTAAGGATAATTGAGTAGTTTATTTACCCCAAACTGCCTCATCCTGTGTCAAGTTCTACACTGTTTTCAGCACTTATCTTGTTGAGGTTTTCAGTTTGCTTAAACTGTAGTGCTGAAGACCTGAAGGAGAGATTAGACTACTTAGAAAGGCTGTGGAAATCTGTTTTCAATTTAATTAAAAGTGTAAAAAGTGTGCGTGTGTTTTAATTTTCTTGACACCAGAGCACAGTTTATTTAACCTTAGATATACAGGGTGGGGCAAAAGTAGGTGTACAGTTGTGAGTATGGGACACACAGAATTTAGTTTTGTATCATTAATGTATTATTGTCTATGCAGACAATCGTACACTTACCTTTGCCCTCCCTCCCGTATACTCGCAATGCCAACATCAAGTCATTTCATGGGATGTTTCAGGATGGTGGTCTTCGTGATAACGGGCACTAGCGAGTCCTCTAGTGTCGCTACACTGATACATAGGTATAAGCAACAATTAAGATACACGATTAAGATTTGAAACAAGCACAGGAAACTTGTAATACTGTTTAAAATGTGAAGGTACTATTTAAAGATTCAGTGTAACCGAGAAAGTCAACAATTACTAAAGATTAACTTTGTCACAGGAAAACAGTCCTTTTTTTTTTTTTTTTTAAAGAAAGGAGCCAATATTCGCATTGCCTTTGAAGCAGTATTTTTGTACAGTGCTTGAAACATTTTGTGACATCACATTAACTTGGACATAAAGAACAAGCATCTGTCATGGGCTTAGCTCCGTACCAAAATACCCTCGAATGGCTATAGTTCTGAAAGTTGGTTCTTTTAGGTATCTCAGTTTTATTGAGTTTTTCTACATCAGAAACTTTGAGTGGGTTTATCACTGAGGAATTAAGAACAGTGAGAATTAGGAGAAAGATGAAGTGAAAAGAATGTTTAAGCCTGGGTTTTAAAAAGTCTTTCCTAACCGTAACTAGTGGGTTAAGTTATCCAACCTTTTGAGGGCCTAATTTTTTTAATCTTAAAAGAAAATAAAACTAGGCAGGATCATCCAAGTCCCTTCTGGCTTTAGATTAGTGGCATAAAAGCCTATTGTGGGAAAGACTTGGAAAGCATCCTGTAGCTGTGCTTCATTGCTTTTGTTTTGGAATTGACTATAAAATGTATCTTTATCTGTGTTTCAGTAGCCGACTAATGTTAAATACTGTGTTCAAAGCTAACTGCTTCATTATGAGAAACTCACTGTTGCTAATAAAACAGCAGGGTGGAGTGATTCTTCTCAGGTGAGCAGCCCAGAAAGAGACAGCGAAACCTTTAACAGCGGCGACTCTGGCCAAGGAGACTCCCGCAGCATGACGCCTGTGGACGTGCCGGTGGCAAACCCAGCCGCTGCCCTGCTGCCGGTCCACGTGTACCCCCTGCCCCAGCAGATGCGGGTGGCCTTCTCCGCAGCCAGAACCTCCAACCTGGCGCCTGGGACCTTAGACCAGCCCATTGTGTTTGACCTGCTCCTGAACAACTTGGGGGAGACGTTCGACCTTCAGCTCGGTAGGTTCAGTTGCCCGGTGAACGGCACTTACGTTTTCATCTTTCACATGCTGAAGCTGGCGGTGAACGTGCCGCTGTATGTCAACCTCATGCGGAACGAGGAGGTGCTGGTGTCTGCCTACGCCAACGACGGCGCCCCGGACCACGAGACGGCCAGCAACCACGCCGTGCTGCAGCTCCTCCAGGGGGACCAGATCTGGCTGCGGCTGCACAGGGGGGCCATTTATGGGAGCAGCTGGAAATACTCTACGTTCTCGGGCTACCTTCTTTATCAAGATTGAAAGTCAGCACGGGATTGAGGACAGACGGTGATGTTCTGCTCAGTGGGAGTAGAGGAAAAGACGAATTGGCTTAGGGAAATGTTTTCATTCCTAGAGGAAGGAGGAGGGTCCTTATTTTTGTTTTCCTCCCCAAGGTGAAAAAACATCAAGCTGAATGACAATTAGCACTAATCTGGCACTTTATGAATTGTGATGTAGCCTCGCTAGTCAAGCCGTGAATGTATATTGTTTGCACTTAACCCTTAACTGTATTAACGTTCAGCTTACTAAACTGACTGCCTCAAGTTCAGGCAAATTATAATGCCTTGTTGTGCCTCAATAAAGAAGTTACATGCACCCCGGTGTTCTTACTTGATTAAACATTTAGCTGAGAGGTAAAATATTTTTTGTATTCATCACTGATAACTCTGGAATAAGATTATTTATGGGTTCATACTAATATATGAAAATAAGCCATTTATATATAACAGTTCCTTTTAGAGTCACTTTTCTCTGATATTATACATGTCACCCATCAAAAGATTTTTGTTTTGCATTGGCTAAATCACATATTTTCCTTGAAGCTATCTTGCAGTAGGACATGCGCTGTCCTTTAGTTAGGTATCTTCAAGTGCCTAATTCATGTATAACAACACAAGATACTACGACTGGTCCACCATCAGGAAGGCTTACGCTTTCCAGTGGATTCTCAAGTTGAGTGGCAACATGTTTAGTCATCAAAAGGCGTAGGTCTGTGGTCAGGCAGTGCTGTGTTTGAATTCTGATTTTGCCCCTTAGTAACTGACCTTGGGCAAGTTATTTTACCTCTAAGATCGATCGATCTCTTTCTTCCAAAAGACCATTTCCCCAAGTGTACAATGGAGATGATGGATCAACCTCGTAGAGCAGCTGTGAAATTCAACTAAGAATATATCCAGACAACACCCTGCCGGCCACAAGGGCTTAGTCAATGACAGGCGCTGTAATTGTTTTTCTCATTCTGAAAACCTGAGTGTTCTGCGTGTGTGCTCCCTCACGCAGTGCAACAGGCACTGCCAGGACTGTGTCCAGTCTAGATGTACCTTCTCCTACGTCACAATTTAAGCTGCTTTATGTTTCTCATTAATAGGAACTTAATGAATAGTGTGTTTCTCAGTTACTTTAAAGAGTAGTTTTTTAAAGTAAGCATTTTGATGGCAGTAACCTGGAATATGTTAGGGTTGGAGAAGTCCATTCTTACTGGGCAACCCAGGCGAGTCATTTGCTGAGGCAGAGAGCTCCTGTTTGAATCCACCTCTCGCTCGGAGGTGTTAAATAATTTCAGGACCATGGCATAAGAGTGTTATATTATTATAGTTAATATTTTTGAGTTGGGAGTGGGTTCAGCAATTAAACCCTGAAGACATATTTAACTTTCCATGGTGTTAAATTTTAGTATAGTGTTCTCAAGACAGGATATAACCTGATTCACTGTTTAACAGAACTTTTTCAATTCATGGCAGGTACTTTGTGGGCTAGGGATACTGATATTCCAGTTAAATAAGTTCGTGGCTTTTATGTTCAGAACAAAAACTGAAAAGTATATAGAAGAGCAGAAATATGATCAAATGAATGAAGGGAAAACTTGATGTTTAAAAACCATCATTGGTTTTTCAGTTCAGCAATGCCTTTCAGTCATTTTTACCCAGTATGTTATATACTACACTAGGGTCTTCAGCTTAGTGTTTTCTCCTGCACACGATGTTTATTTAAAATTGTGCCTATATATTTTTTAAGGTAAGTGTCACAACCAGAAGATTTATTAACTAGGGTATCCCCTCAAAGTAATAGCCATGCTTAGGAGAGGATTTTAAATGAAATACTGTCTTGTGTAAAGACAGCTGGAAATTATTCTTAGGCTTATGAGAATGAAAGGAAAAGACCTTTGATTCTGAAGCAATGTAACTTCTGAGTAGACAGTTATTCTGGACACCTTTGGTAAAAAAAAAAAGTCCAGATATCTCCTACAGAAAGGTGTGCACACGCACAGATTTTAGATACACTTACAAGTGGAGGGGGGATCCGCAGGTAGGTTCAGCCCATTTACGGGCCTTGTGTACAGAACTTACATTTTAATGGGAAAATCTGGGAGATAAGACTGACTGGAAAGGCATTCCCTGTAATTACCACGTAGTCCTTCAGTCTGTAGCTACTTTGTTGTCTTACTGGAGGTGGACATGGGAAGGGAAAGGAAGTTATTTACTAAATTTTCCCTCGAGGTTTTTTTTTTCCTTCTTTCACTTTAAATTTTGGGGGTGGGGAAGCTTTTTTCTGCCAAGGCCATTTGGATATTTATAACATCATTCAAAGACCATACAAAATTACCAACTTAAAAATAAGCTATGTAAAAAGCTAGATTTATTGAATGTTGAGTCCCGCCCGCAGTTGCCTTGGCGGGCCAGACCAAATGATTTCTCAGCCGGCCTATACGGCCCGCGGGCCAGATGTTCCCCACTCCTGCTTTAGGTCGTTTAATTTTGTTAAATGAATTCTCCCCCAAGAGTTGTGAGCTAATGACTGACGTCCTCTAAAATGATTTAGTGCAAAATTGAGGTATTTAAAGCAGGAAATGTGTTTTGAGAGGTTTGCTCACTAGCTTCCTGTACCAATTATCTGTCAACCATCCTATTTTTTTAACTTTCTCAACTCGTAAGAGCTATATTTTTAGTGCTTTGACATCACATGTTGTGATTTTAATACCTTAATCCCTTTTTGCAATTTTAATTCCTTAGCTTTAATGACTGATATTCTGTTGCGATCCTTGTAATAACTAGGATGATATTTTATGTATTTATCAGGTGAAATAATTGTGGGCATATAAATGCTAAGGTTTTTCCATATGAATTCCACTCTGCTCCCCTGCTAAACATTTTATTTTGATGGAAAAAAAATTTAGATTTCTCTTTCTAGGTCCTCTACTTGCTAATCTGTCTCAAGGTATTCCTAATTCCCACTTTAATGATTAGGCCAGTAGCTTTACCCCCATTTTCAGCTTTCGGGCCAGTGTTGACAACTGGTAAGTACAGCTCACTTGATACCAGTATGAGATGTTGAATAACAGGTTATAAGATATTGTTACGCATTATCAATACTAAGGTCTGAGGCTCACTCATTCTGTTTCTGAAGCATTACTCCTTTATTCCGCATACCTTGAAATAAGTTAAATGACTAATTTAGTCTTTCCAATATATGGGTCACCTGATTCGTACCTGGCGTGGGGGCTGCAAAGATGAGTGACGTTCAGATGTTCAGACGCATCAAGCCTCAGGCATATCCGTTTTACCTGCTGAGAGCAAATCTATTCTGGAATTATTTCTTTGGTTTCTATCACACCCCCGTTTTTTCTGTTCAAGGTCTGGATTGTTTACTATTCAGAAGCTAGACCCCCTTGGACCAGTTCATTACTTTTATCACCTTTTGTCGTCTTGGAGTTTCACTTTCCTGGGAGGTTTCCTGGATTTTATCTCCCTACCTTTTTACAGAGTTTTAAATTCCTGCCACATTTAAAATTTATGAGTACACTTCTATTATCTGAGGGTTCCTTACATACATGTAGTCTCCTGTTTCATGACTGCATTTTCTAATTCTAAGGATAAAGGTTTTTTAACAAAATTTGTCCCCTCTGTAGTCTATTTCCTACACTTTTTTGTTTTAGCCTCTTGTCTGTATTGTTATATTTAGTTTCTTGTGATAATCAGTTGACTGTTTATGTTTAGGATGGGGCAGCAAAAATGACTGAAAGCTTTGAATGTGGAGATGGGACTTGCTGACGTCTGGGGAGAGCACCAACGGGGAGGTCTGCAAGAGTTTCCGAAAGTGGGACACACAACCCAGAAGCCATCACTTTAGGATGGACCAGTTTGACTCGGACAATTTATTCCCCTAAAACTTCTGTTTAGGGAAAATAATGGCAGAAGACAGATGATCACCTGCAGTGGGAGGAAATCGAGAAGAAATAGATGGCCCCAAACAGGGCAACAGATGTGGAGGGGCAGTTTGTACCTGCTGCAAAAAGATCAGGAAGCATAGGTGGAGTTTTAAAGTACATAGTTTGGCAAACGTGGGGAAATGGGCGTTCATATTGTAAATGGGGATAAAACTGGTACATTTTTGGAGAGTAGCAATCACTATCAAGATAAAGTACATGCTTTTGACCGAGAAATTGTTCTGCTAGGAATTTACAAATAGTTTTGGGATTATGACAAGATATATGCATACGGATATTTTGTGTAGCATTAATTATAGTGAACTTGTAGAAACAACCTAGATGCCTGTCGATAGGGAATTGGTCAACTAAGCCATAACGGAAGATTCAGAACAGAACGTGCAGCGTTTGTGTAAAAATTCCTGAAAGCATGCGTCTGATCACCTAAAATCGTTTTTTTCCGGTAGTGTGTGTAAGAAATCTGACAGTGTTGGTCGTAAGGGGGTTGTACTAGAAGGAAGGGCGTCTTTTATCTTTCTTTCTTGATCTTACCATAGAACTTGAAACGTACGTGTTACTTTTCTGTTAGGAAATCTCAGGTAAAAGGTAAAATGATAGATTTCTATGGTCTTTACCCTGCCTCGTCTCCCCTCGGATAGAGCTTGAGTCTGGGGTACCCCCTAACTGAGGGACTGGTCTTATCCCTGGCGCCTTGTCGGAGCCCCCGCGCCTTTGTGAGGCGCCCCGTGTTCCAGGGGCTGGAAAGCCGAGGCCCGGGGCCGGGGCCGGGGCCGGACGGGCGGGCTCCCT